AAGATAGCAGGAGGGGAAGAATGAAGGGGAGTAAGTCAGAGGGAGAGACGAACCATTAGAGACGATGGACTCTGAAAAACAAACTGAGGGTTCTAGAGGGGAGGGGAATGGGGGGATGGTTTAGGCTGGTGACAGGTATTTAAGAGGGCACATTCTGCGTGGAGCACTGGGTGTTATGCACAAACAATCATGGAACACTACATCAAAAACTAATGATGTAATGTATGGTGATTAACATAACAATAAAAAAATTTTTTAAAAAATTTAAAAAAAAGAAAGTAGCTTTTCAAATGATGGTTGTATAACCAGCACTGAGGGAAACCATGCCTGTTGGAGCAGGCTGGAAAGCTGTGGGAGAGATTTTTCAAAGAAATGGAGTACCGGGGCGCCTGGGTGGCTCAGTCATTAGGTGTCTGCCTTCAGCTCAGGTCATGATCCCAGGGTCCTGGGATCAAACCCCACTTCGGGCTCCCTGCTCCGTGGGAAGCCTGCTTCTCCCTCTACCAGTCCCTCTGCTTCTGTTCCCTCTATGTCTCCCCCTGTCAAATAAATAAATAAAATCTTGAAAAGAAAAAAGAAATGGAGTACCTGTTTTGTTTGAACATGTTGAAAGGAGATATACACAACTAGCAAAACATTTCAAGGTGAATTGTATATAGATAAATGAGCAAATGTAAAGCAAAACACTTATTAACTCTAGAAAAAAACAGGTTATGCAGGAAACTGCATACCTCAGTTGTGAATATTATTTGTATAATAAAAAAGTGACTGTTAATATAAGAAAATACTGTATATTCAGATAACTCAAATTACCTTTTGATTCTTTTGGGGATACACCTGTCTTTGTGGAACAGAGTGGAGAACAGAAGTGTTGGAACATGCTTAATCATTACTTGTGGTTGCAAGTACGACAGCAATATAAGTATGGTAAATATTAAAAAGTCAGTTAAATCAATTCAAAAGGGTTGCCTCCCGGGAGCAGAAAAGGAATGAGAATGGCACACGGATGCTGTCATTTGTAATAAGCCTTGTGGAACAACTTTTCTTTACACTCTTGAGATGTATAAGTTTAGTAATAGACTTTTAAAAAAAAGGAAGAACGAAAAAAAGAATGTGGGTTTCAAAACCAGGTAGACCTGATTTTAACTTCCAGCTTCATCAGCCCTCTAAGCCTCAGTTTGCTCATGTGTAAAATGTAAGGATAATAAGAGCTATTTATTATAGTGGGTGTGAAAATTAGGTAAATCATAAAGGCATAGTGCCTGGCTCCTGGTAGATGCTCATGGTTTTTTTTTGATTGAGTGAATATACAAAGGAAAAAATGAATACACAAATAAGCTCCTAGTATAGTATTCGGATACATGATATATGGTCAGTTTATGTGACCTGTCATTATTAACGTGTTTTTTTGATTTACGTGATGGGAGAGAGTATATAAACTCTAAGAATGAGGCCATATAGCAAAGTAGTTATCAGTTTTGTCACTCACTGTGTAATTTAGGGAAAGTTATCTAATGTTCCAGGTTTTCACGTAGATGATGGTTATAGTAGTTTGAAAGTAAACCTTTTTTTTTTTTTTTTTTAGTAAACTTGTTTTTATAAGTAAATTAAGGTAAGCCAATGTAAGCACGTGTGTCTGGAGCAAAATAACAACTCAAATAAATGGTGGTTTTTGTTAATAATATTGATAACCTCTAAATATAAAATAGTTAAAACCATTATTATATAATGGTAAGTGGAAAGGTTTAAAATTGTATCTTCATCGTGATTACAGTGATATAAAAATGGGCATACTTATGGAGAAGGAATGGAAAAAAATTACCCCTCCCCAAAAAGGTAAACAAATATGTTTTAGAGTGATGGGACATCAGTGATGTTTTAAAAAGTATTTTCTTTGTTGTTAAGTTGTTTATGTGCTACGTCCAAGCTGGAAGGAGGATAAGAATGAAAAGATAGCACCTTAGGAACCAGAAAACCTGAGTTGGAATTCTAGTTTCACTGCTTTTTAGCCATTTCATTTTGGGGAATTATTTACCATCTCTGGGACTTATTATTTCTTGTACTCAAGATGAGGAAACCATCTCCCTTCCAGATTGAAATTTAAATGTGAAATCAAAGATTAAATATGATTAAACTTAAGTGTGAAGGTTAAATGAAGTAATACACATGAAAGGTCTTTATATAGCTCAAAGTTATGTACAGATATTGTCACTGCAACATACTAATTTCCATTTTACCTTTATTTTTAAAAATAGACCTCAGAGAGCTAAGATGAGATTCTGGGCCAAAGGGAAACAAGGGGAGAAGAAGACTACCCGAGTGAAAGCTGCCACCCAGTCAGAGGTTTCGGGATTCTTTGCTGGCTCTGATACGATTCCAGCTCATCAGTTTCCAGATGGTAAAAATGGACAAAGGATGGAGATTGTCTTTATAATTTGTTCACTCTGTCTGAGAGTTCATTATTCCTCTAGTATTTGTAATGGCAATCCTGTTGGCCAGATAGTCTAATGAAATAGGACCAGAATTGTAAAATCTTTCCTTAAGTAAAAGATAATTATAAAATGACCTTGTATAGAAGTTCCGGAAGTGTGGTACAAAACAGTGAAGCAACAACAACTTAAGAATGATGGTGCATCTTCGGTTAGCCTCAGTTTTCTAAAGTGTAGAAATTTAGCTGTCATTCATTCACTTAACAAATATGTATAATTAGTAAAAATTAAAGATAATAGCAGCTAATATTTAAGTGCTTACCATGTGGAAGGCACTGTACTAAGCATGTTGTATGTGTTAACTCAGTTGATCCTCTCAATTTTGGGGGGTTGATATGATTATTATTCCCAGTTTATAGTTGAGAAGGCTGAAGCACAGAGAAGTTATTTCCTTACGCACTTATAGTAGTTGGCAGAGCTGAGATCTGAATTTAGGTAGCCTAGCTCCAGAGGCCACATTCTTAACCACTGTGGTACATAATTAAATACCTACTATAAATTAAGTATTTGCTATACTATACTGACTTTATAATTGTAGCTGTTATTTTAATTTTGGGGGCTTCAATCATAACACACTTGAACATACCCGACAGTTCATCTCTTGAGAAAATTGGCCTTTCTAAATGCTAGAATTACTAACTCTAAGGATTCCAGTAATTCCAGCATTAGATGATTATGCAGTTTTCCCCAACCCTTTGCTCAAACATGTATGAGAATTTTTAATCGTTACGCGAAGATGCCAGCTATCTTCAACAGTGATGGGATGGACATACATCAGAGGTGGGTGTGTGGTAATGAGTGGGTAAATACCAGTGGGTAGGTGAATAAAATAGAAAGTGGGTCTAGGAAGAAAGTTGTCTCTAAAGGAAAGATAGAACGGGGCCAGTTACAATAAGTAAACAAAACTTCTCATATCTGGATAAGACAAAGGGACAAGTAGAATAATAAGCTTCACATAGGAATGGATGAGCCAAAGCAGAGGCACCTGTGTGTCAGAGAAAAAAATGGTAGACCTATAGTTAGAGCCCTGTTTTTGTGTCTTGTGGCTTTGCTCCTATGAGTTGGCAAAACGATATAGATAAAATCAATAGTAAATTAAGTGAATACTACAAGTCCAGTTTGGAAATTTGGGAAATCCTTACCATTACATTACTGAGAGGATCGATTTCTTGTATCTAATCTGGCTTATAGTAAGCATTCTAAATTTTTCATTTTTCACAATTCTATTCTCCTGGTTAATTCTTAAGAAGGAAGCATAAAGCTCTTAAGTTGAAGCATATATTATTAGCTGACTTCATTGTGTGTTGCTTCATAAGGAGATATATATTGTAGCTTTTTATTTATTTTTGGGTAGTAATTTATTAAGGTATCCCTTGTTTTTAATACTGAAGCAGTATTATAATTTCTTTAGTAATCATTATTTCTTTTATTATAGGAAAGATATTTACTTTGCTAAATGAAATTATTAGGTACTTCTATGTCTTGGTTCTATAATGGAATTAAAATCAATTGATACTAATTAGCATCTATATCTTTATAATTTTTATTCTGGTGCCTTATCAGAGATTGGGTTTGTCTTCCTTTCTGCCTGAGGTGGCATTTAGCATGTAGGAGGCTACTTTTTTCCTTCATTATCAGAGTTAGCTTTTAGAGGGAATGAGGACATAGCATTGGACAGGTGAATGAATACATGTGGGGGAAACAAATAGATATGTGAAGTGAGGAGGGGCCAACATATTTATCAAGCCCCAGGTAGGGCTTTGGCAAACCCAATATAGTTCTAGATTATGACGGACTTACATGCAGTCAATTTCCCTGTTGTAAACAGAGAAGATTTGTTGTACTTTCCAATATTATATACAAAGGTAATGCATTCCAGGAATTCTCTGAGAAATTCAGACAGTTATTTGGGAGATGTATAAGAAAATCCTAAATACTAAGGAGACCAAGAAGTGAGCTGGTTGACTTACCTGGCTCCCTAGATAGGTTGCCAGGTTAACTACAGGTAATATCACTGAAGCATTTATGGCTTTAGACCCTAGTAATGAAATAATAATAATTATCAAACTTCACTGGTTTGCTGAATTTGTATATAGCTGAATATTCTTTCAAACAAATATAGTAAAGCTATGATTGGTTTAATGGTCAGCATTTAATGTGCTAGGGTGGTTACATATACTCTTCTTTTTTTCCTTTGGGACTGAGGTATTTGGGATCCAGGCTTTAGTTCTATAAGATACCTCCATCCAGGTTTTTAGTATCAGACCTTAGCCCCTTCGCAGACATAATGGCATTTTCCATTGAAAAGTAGTCATTTTAAAGTACATTTTCTGTACAATTGTGCCATCTGTATTTATTGTTTTGCCTGACTGCAAACATTAATATTACTTTGCTTTTCAGATACATATTTTTCCTTCAGTGACTTACTAAAGGAAGTTAAATTTAAAAAGAAGAATTTGGAGATTTCAGTATTTTCACTAAAATTTTTTTTTTTTTCGATACTTTATCTTGAATTATAGAATTAGTTCAGTATCACCCGACACCTCCTTTGAGCCCAGAATTGCCTGGTAGTTGCCGGAAGGAGTTTAAAGAGAACAAAGAACCTTCTCCAAAGGCAAAGCGGAAGCGAAGTGTGAAGATCAGCAATGTGGCTTTGGAGTCTATGCACTGGCAAAATGACTCTGTCCAGATCATAGCAAGTGTCAGTGATTTAAAAAGTATGGATGAATTTCTTCTGAAAAAGGTACACTCTGCATGCTGAGTTAGGCTCCTAAGTGGCTTTGACCATGGAATGCTTGTTTTTATCAGAATATGGCCCCTATAGATCAAGTTTACCTATGCTTCAGTAAATTAGATGGTCTGTCTGTTCTTTATGAAAAAGATATAACTAACAGGATATGCATTACTCAGACTGGGTGGACAGGAGTTAAGGTTTTATGCTTTACTGTTGACTTGCATTTTACCTTAATTGTCATATTATATTCCATGGGTTAAGGTGAGGCTTGTCATTGCATACTTGGAGTTTTTTCTCTGGTAACAGAATGATAGAATAATATAGTGTTAGAAGGACCTTAGAAATCATCTGGTAGTAATAAAACATTGACTCTCTAGTCATGCTTTTACCTTGGTCCCATAATAGCAGGGGCTTGCACTTTCAGGACCATTGGGACCATCATTATTGAAGAACCAATCAATATCACTGTTGTAGTCACCTCTTTTTAATTAGTTGATTGTGTACAAAAACTTTTTGTGGCCCCCAGATGAATGACCTAGATAATGACGACAGCAAGAAAGACACATTAGTGGATGTTGTATTTAAAAAAGCCCTGAAAGAATTTCGGCAGAATATCTTCAGCTTTTATTCATCTGCCTTAGCGGTAAGTTGGACTGTGTTAGGAGATATTCAGTAGTTAACATATGAAAAATTTGTCTATGCTGTAGGAGATAATACGGAGGCTGTGTTCAATGAGAGATTTCTCAAATTCCTTGTTTTTGTTTTAGGAATAGGTAGGGAAAAGCATACTGACTGGTCTCAGGTTAATACCTTCCTTCAGTTTCCTTGAGTAGTTTTTTTTCCTCTCTTACGATGTTGAATCTTCTTATAAGATGATAAATTCACATATTATAAATGTGATTCTGTGGCTCTCTACTATTTTGCTTCTCATAATCCTTTAGCTCTGGCTTTAGCTTCTAATTTTCCTATGTGTAGAATTATACATTTTTCCCCGGTGGAATTAGAGCAGTTTATGTTCACTGGTTTATGTATATCAGTTTATTTCACTTTCAGATTTACCTTATAATTTTATGACAGTGGTCATATAAAGTTTATGGTTTTAGAAGGCTAAAGTAGATAATAATGCTTTGATCTCTAGAATCTATGAATTTTCATATTCTATAAAATAATTTGTATTTAATCATTTTTCTTTGTTCAGTCTATAATTCATTGTGAAAAGAGAAGTCAGGAGAACTTTCTTGTGTATCCTTTACTTTTTCTTTCTCAGTATAAGAATTTTTGCTTTTTTAAAAACATGAACCATGCAGTCTGAGAGAATAGGAATTTCAGGGCCATAGTAAGAGTGGTAATCAGGCTATAGCAAATGACTAGGTTTGCATAGAGACAACGTTGGCCGTATTTTTCTAATCCTGCTGAACTGCTTATTATGCTCATGTCTTTATCTCTGCTTCATACCTGTATTTCCTAGATTAGGGATTCCTGGTTGTTGGGTGCTCCAGTACACTTAAATCACATAGGAAGAGCCAGAATTATGAAGTATAGCTTAATAGTGGTTTTCTAACTCTGATCAAAAATGTTCAACGTATTTTGAGGAAGTGAAGGAGAAACAAATTCTAAATATATATGACACTTTTTGGTCATTTAAAGCGCTCCCCCCCTTTTTTTTCCTCTCACAAAAGTTCCAGACCTTATTTAAATAAGTTAAAAGTAATCCCATGTAGATTCCTTTACAAGTAATACAGTGTTATTCAGGACATGTCATTCTTCTTTGGAAAAATAAAATAATGGTTACCTAATGTATCATTAGGCAAGGATTCAAGTATTCGTTCTTTCAATTTTAGAGTGGAACTATCTAAACAAGTTTCATTTCTGAGGCGATAGGTAATTAAGTGGGATGCAAATAATCTCTATAGCTAAATATAGTTTAAAAACCAGACTTGTAGGGAAGTTCCCAGGACTTTCTGAAGTTGTTACGTTGTTTAAACTGTTAGGTATTTTGTTAAAATTTAATAGGTTTTATTCTGCAGACATTCCACAGTAGGGCATTTACAGATATAACATGACCTCATGGGCTTGCCCGTTAGGAAGGATCCTGATCTTTATTCTAAACACTACCCAATACAAGTTGAATCAATCTTCTATGTTTAGAGAATTTCTTTATATAATACCTTACATGTCTTCTCTTATTGCTCATTAGATAGACGATGGGAAAAGCATACGGTATAAAGACCTCTACGCACTATTTGAACAGATTCTGGAAAAGACCATGAGGCTTGAGCAGCGTGATTGGAGTGAATCTCCAGTCAGAGTTTGGGTCAACACTTTTAAAGTGTTTTTAGATGAATATATGAATGAATTCAAGACTTTGGATTATATACCCACAAAGGTAAATATTATATGTTTGATTTCTAAAAGGATTCAGTTAAGAATTCTTTTTTTTAAAAGTCTGTTTGGGAGAGTGTTTGATATTTGAGAAAAACATTACAGGGAACATGTCAACTTAGCACTACTTTAGATAGAGCAAACTTAATTCAAATTATCTTACAAGTTTATCAGACCGTATTATCTAAATCTTCTGCAATTAATAAGTCTTTGCTGAGTTAAAGTATAACATTGTTTCCTCAACATTATACCCTCTACTTTGATAGAGGTCACTACATGAATTTCCTTTTGAAAAACTGTGGTTAAAGATGTAATTCATTGTATCATTTGATGGCCTTTCTGTAAGGAACCACAAATTATATTTCTTCTTGAGTTAGGTTTTAGGAAAATGTGTGCTTCTGGAAATCTATATAACAGTAATAATAACATTTATTTATTGAGTGCCAGGAATTTTACTAGATGTTGCATATTTTATTTAATTCTTGCTTCAGCCCTATTAAATAACTATTGTAAAATCCATATTACAGAAGACAAAGTTATGTGTTATATGTTTCCTTTCAGTACCCCAGCTGAAATAATTAGGTATCTAATTATTAGGTATCAGGAATACTATTAATCCTTTTTATTGATTGGGTCCTATTTTATATATGTTTAAATTTACAAGCCATGTTAACTCACTTTTGAAGTAGTCAGATATAAATTAATAGTCAGATATAAATTAATCCTTGAAAGTTCTTCTGTTCTAGGTCTAGGTTATACAGAGATTTTTAGGAAGCATATACTGACTTTGTTTATAATCTTAAAGGTTAGGTTTGGATTGTTCTATACAGTGGTTATTAGGAAATGTCATGTATAAAAGAGCCTTCTGTGTCACAAGTGATACCTTTTTATATTTAGCTCTGGGATGGAGAGTATTTTAGACCCCAAATATGGAAAGTGCAGTCTTAAAAGTTAGTAATCATTCAGTTAATGACTAAAATAAAATAATCATTTAAATTAATATGGAGTGGCTTCTGAACAGAAATGATGTTTAAAAAGATAAGAATCCCTAAAGTATCTACCTTTTATTCTGTTGCTTTTATGAATATTATGTTTCACTGAATTTAAAAATTTTCTTACATTTGCTTGCTAGAACTGCACATTTTCTTTTGAACGATAAAAAGCTGCTTACACTATTACCTATGGAGCAAAAATCTCAGCATTTGCAAAGAAGAAAGTATGTTTGTCTTTGTTATATCACAGTTTCTGTATTTCTCTCCCATCAGGTACCAAAAACAGAAAGAAAGAAAAGAAGAAAAAAAGAAACAGATTTAGTAAGTTAAAATCTATTTCTTATGTTAACGAGAAGTAATTTTTAGCAGTGTGAAGTACATTTTACAGTATTTCTGTGGATATATTTAAGGAATATTTATCAGATGCCTACGGGGTTATCATTTACGTCTTTACAAAAATTTACAGTGAGAGAGATATCTTGAAATCTGTGACTTGTTATCAGTGGTGGCTTCTTAAAATGGCAGAAACGTGAAAATGTTTACTCATGAAAGGTATAAATATCTCTTTTCAGACATAGGAGCTTTTTAACTTTCCCTCCTTTCTAAAAAAAAAAAATATTAGGACTATTTAAGATTTTACATATGTAACTACTTCTAATTCAAAAGACATTCCCAAGGGCATTCCAGCATATTTTACCATTGTTTATGTTCTTTTCTATTGTGTTATGTATCTCTATTGTGTACTTTATAATACTCTCTGTAATTACAAGGATGACTTAAACCCTATAGGAGCTCATAATTTGCCAGTGAAGGTAGGCATTTAAAAAGTCATTGGTAGAAAATAGTACAAAGTCTCTTGAATTATGGAAAGGGAAAATGAAGGAAGCCTTTACAAAAGAAAAGACATTTTTGCTCATTCTTGACAAAGGAGTAGTAGCTTAGACAGATAGTATCTAGCCAAGGGGAAAGAGTATAGTAGTCCCCGTTCTCCACCGTTTCACTTACCTGCAGTTTTATTTACCTGCAGTCAATCTGGAAGCAAATGATCCTCCTTCTACGTCAGCCCTTTCTGCTTTACTTTGCACCTTTATGTTATGGAGATGGCTTCTTTCCTTAAACCTCATGAACCACCCTCTGCTAGTGTCAAACTTTTCTTCTGCAGCTTCCTCACCTCTCTCAGCCTTCATAGAATTCAAGAGAGTTAGGGCCATGTTCTGGATTAGGTTTTAGCTTAAGGGAATGTTATGGCTGGTCTGATCTTCTATCCAGACCACTGAAACTTTCTCCATAATAGCAATAAAGCTGTTTTGCTCTTTTATCATTCACATGTTCACTGGAAAAGCGCTTTTAGTTTCCTTCAAGAATTTTTCCTTTGCATTCACAACTTAGCTAACTGTTTGGTGCAGGAGGCCTAGCTTTCAGCCCGTTTCGGCTTTTGAAATGCCTTCCTCACTAAGTTTAATCATTTCTGGCTTTTGATTTAAAGTGAGAGACATGTAAAAAAAAAAAATAAAACGAGAGATGTGTGACTCTTCCTTTCATGTGAACACTTAGGGCTATTAATCAGCCAGTTTCAATATTATTGTGTCTCAAGGAATAGGGAGGCCTTAGGAGTGGGAGAGAAACAGGAGAACGACTGGTCAGTGGAGCAGTCAGGACACACACCCATTTATTGATTACCTTTGCGGTCTTAGATGGGTGCAGTTTGTGGTGCCCCAAAACAATTACCAATAGTAACATCAGAGATCACTAATCACAGATCAGCCTAAGAAATATAATAATAATGAAAGCCTTGAAATATTGTCAGAATTACCAAAGTATGACAGAGAGACACAAAGTGAGCAAATGCTGTTAGAAAAATGGTGCTGACAGACTTGTTCAATTCAGGGTTGCCACACACCTTCAGTCTGTGAAATGCAGTGAAGCACAGCGTAACAAAAGGACATATGCTTGTGTTTAAGTCCTTAGCCTGGCTTACTTTTGTTCTCTGAAGGAGAATTTTCCAATTGAGTAACCTTAGACAGCTTAGTCTCTGAGTTTCAATGTACTCATGTATAAAATAGGAATAATGTCACCCACCACTGAGGATTTTGGTGAAGGTTAAATGAGATTATATACTAAGGAAGGGGTAGAGAAGGTAGAGGGCCTGTTATTAACAGGTAGTGCTTAGGCACTTTATACACTTAAAGCCTTGCAAGAATAGTCTTTTTCATGTCTATACAGAAAAGAACAATACCTCAGGATAAAAATGAGCAAAGCATCTGACATTCAAAAAAAAGGACAGTAAGGACAATTCATTTATTCAACAACTATTTTATTTCAGGGACTATGATAAATCATAGAAATCTTAAGAAATTGACAAATAAATGTTTATACTTGTTAGTCAAATTAAAATGAACAGTGATTTACTATTTTGTTCATCAGTGGGCAAAACTGAAAATGAATTAGTTACCTAATTTGGAAGGATATATAAATATAGATTTTTCTCAGTATTGTGAATTGGAGGGTCATTTGCACAACCTTCTTGGAGAAGGTGCTTTAACAGTCATGTATTTAGTTTTAGAAATATTTAAAAACAAAAAATGTTGACCCAGCAATTACACATGTAGGAATTTATCCAGTAGATATATCACACTTGTTCATGCTGCGATGTACAAGTTTTTTTATTGAAGAGGAGTTTGTAATAGGGAGAGACTGAAAACACTGTAAGTTTATAAGGAAATGGTTATATAAACTAGATACACTTATGAAATAGGATGCTGCTTTAACACTAAAGTAAAAGAAGCCATTCTCCAAGGTGTTTTGTTAAGGAGCTAATAATCACTATATAGAAAGCCACCATTTGTGTATTTTTAAAAAACAAAAAGCATTTTCATATCTGTGCTCATACACACAAACTATCTGAGTTAGACACAAGAAACTAATATCAAGGATTATTTTCTACAAAGAGGAACTAGTCAGAATCCAGAGGTAAGGAAAAACTTACCTTTCGTTGATTCTATTTTGTACCTTTGATCCATTCAGTATAAAATAACTTTTAATAAAAACAACTTTAATATTAGAGTTCCAATAGAAGAAAAAAATACGCATGTGTGTGATTTACAATTTTATGAATAGAGGAATATCTGTGAGATAAAATGTTAGTATCTGGGAATAATTGAAGCATCACAGAACAAGGCCATATTATGAGACTGGGATGAACTGTGAGGTGAATTTTTTTTTATTTAGTTAGTTGGTTATTTGATTAATTTATTAAGGCAAAAATGACTGCTAACACTCCACTGCCAGGCACTTTATTTAACTTTTTCTTTTAAAAGATTTATTTAAGAGCACCTGGGTGGCTCAGTCTTAAGTGTCTGCCTTTGGCCCGGGTCATGATCCCAGGGTCCTGGGATTGAGCCCCGCATTGGGCTCCTTGCTCAGCAGGGAGCCTGCTTCTCCCTCTCCTCCTGCCTGCTGCTCCCCCTGCTTGTGCTCTCTCTCTCTCTCTCACTGTTTCTCTCTCTCTGTCAAATAAATAAATAAAATAAAAATAAATAAAAGATTATTTGAGAGAGAGACTGCATGCCTGCTCCTGTGTGAGAGTGGAGGAGGAGCTGAGGGAGAGGGAGAGACAGAATCTCAAGCCGACTCTGCATTGAGCACAGAGCCCAATGGGGGGCTTGATCTCATGACCCTGAGATTATGACCTGAGCCAAAACCAAGAGTCAGATGCTTAACTGACTGAGCCACACAGGCGCCCCTATTTAACTTTTAAATTTGAGGCATAATTGACATGAAACATTAGTTTTAAGTGTACAACATAATCATTTAATACTTGTATATATTGTGAAATGATCACAAGAAGTTCAGTTAACATCTGTCACTATAAATAGTTACAAAAAATTTTTTTCTTTTGATAAGAAATTTTAAGATCTACTTTCTTAGCAACTTTCAAATATGTGATACAGTATTATTAACTGTAGCCACCATATTCTACATTATACCCTCATAACTTAATTATTTCATAACTGGAAGTTTATGCAACCTTCCCTACAATATATTTTAATAACAGGCAGTGTTGCCAGTCATCATCAATGCTATTCTTGGTCTGGTTCTGTTTATAATCTCTTAAATTTTTAACTAGTTTTTATTCTTAATTCAGAAATTCATATAAACATAATTTAAAATGATATTCATTATAAAGTAAGCCTCTTTTCCAGCCCTTCTTCCTAGATATAACCACTGCAGCCAGTTTTTTTTTTTTAATTCCAGAAATATTCTGTGCCTTTGTTAGCATTTGAATGTATATATATTCTCCTTCCTTTTTCAGGATATTCTGAGTGGGATTTTTTATTTTGTTTATAGTTGATTTGTTTATTATAGAAATGTAAATTTGTCACTTTTCTTTATTTGAGGTTTTTCTTTTTCTTAGACAAATAATTACATGATTATTACAATAATTTACTTTTCCCATGCCTTTCGCTATTGTTTGATTTGTTTCCTTTAAAAATAGTAATCATCTGGAATCTATTTTAGTCTCAAGTCAGATAGGGATCAAAGTCTGATTTATTTTTAAAAGCATGTCAATTGTCTGAACACTGTTGATATATTTCTTTTTCACTGAAATATCGCTTTTATAATATACTTGATTCCAAATGTATTTGTATTTAATTTTGAATTTTCTATTCTTTTTTTTTTTTAAGATTTATTTATTAGAGAGAGAATGAGAGATAGAGAGCATGAGAGGGAAGAGGGTCAGAGGGAGAAGCAGACTCCCTGCCGAGCAGGGAGCCCGACGCGGGACTCGATCCTGGGACTCCAGGATCATGACCTGAGCCAAAGGCAGTTGCTTAACCAACTGAGCCACCCAGGCGCCCTTGAATTTTCTATTCTTATTCATTGATCTGTTTATGCATGTATCAAATCTCTTAAATTACTTTTTGTTTTATCAAATATATGTACATGTATACCCCCATATACACATGACTAAAAAGTCTTGAAGGATATTCTTTTTGTGTATTTAAGTTTTTATTTTAATTCCAATTAGTTAACATACAGTGTTACATTAGTTTCAGGTGTACAATAGAGTGACTCAACACTTCCATACAATACCCTGTGCTCATCACAAGTGTACTACTTAATCCCCATCACCTATTTAATCCAGCCTCTACCACCCTCTCCTCCAGTAACCATCAGTTTGTTCTCTGCAGTTAAGAGTCTTTTTCTTGGTTTGCCTCTTTCTCTTTGTTTTTCCTTTGCTCATTAGTTTTGTGTCTTAAATTTAACATATGAGTGAAATCATACTGCATTTCTTTTCTCTGACTTACTTTGCTTAGCAT